AAAGGGAAAAGGATTAAAGACCAACAACAAGCCTAAATAATTTGGGAACATCCTTTGGTCCTTAGCCGGGGGGCCATGACCCCCCTGAAGGTGGAGGTGTGTGCACATGTATATTTTCTCATCACCTCAGACTGTTCAGAACCACTGACTAGTCTGCATCTTGGTTACCTCCTTGAAATTTATAAAGAAGCTCCCAACTATTTTTACATAAACCATTGCCTAGTCTAGACACAAGCTTACCACATGATCCTGAACAAGGTCCTTAACACTTTTGCACCTACCTTGACTCATCTAAAAAAATGCAGTCAATTAATAAGTTTATGCCTCCTGTTTAAAGCACATGCTGAGCCTAAACAAGGACGTAGAATCAGGTGGCTTCTCGTGTCCCTTCTGGGTCCCGTGGCCTGAGATCCTCATCCCCTCCCACAACCTCTGACTCAGACTCCCTCCGTGGGTGACACAGGAGAAAGGAAGTGAGAGGAGTGGTGGGCTCCCCCAGGAATCCACAAGCTCCTGATCCCCTGGAGAAGAGATGAGCCACATTCTCACCATTTAGCTTTATCAGAGCCCTTGCCTGTAATATGCAGACATCGTCGGCCGATTGAATCAGAGAAGTCTGGGAACTTCTATGATCTGAACAAAGGAGATAGTTATTTGATGGGAACGGGGAAAAAAAGCATGTCCTGAACACAGCTGACTCTCTTCTGCTGACCCTGTGTAATTACACCCTGGCTCCCAATAATGACAGCTGCAGAAATCTAAAATCTTAACTCGCAGGTGACATTAAATCAGATTAGCCCCAATCTTGCTGGAGGGCTGGGGATGGTTGGAGAAACTTCTTAGTCACCTTATCTTAAGATGTGGGGTGGGACAATCTCCCTCCCCATAGCTGCCCAAGTCACAGCCTCAAATACTGGGCCACTTAGGTTGATTTTTGAGGGCTCAAATCCCAAATACTCCCACTCTGCACATAGGAAAAATTAGATTACCTAAGGCCATTCAGCCAACTGGCTGGGCCACTGCCACACACAGAAGACAGAAGACGTACTCAAGGGGGAAGAGGCCCCCACACAGCATCTACACACTTACAAAGTCGTCTAGACACCCCGCTAATCATTCATGATCACTTTTATTGTGTCACAGAATGTCAAAACTAGAATGGACCTGACTGGTCCCTCATCTAACTTTCCTAGCTTAAAGATGATAAAAGTAAGGCCAGAAAGGGTCGAGGACTTACCTGAGGTCACACATCTTTTTAGGGACAGAACCAGGCCTCCTGGGCCTCTGTGAAGTCTATTGTCTACTACATCACAGTGAGTAGAAAAGTTTTAAGTCAGAGACTGAGTACTGGGGGCCAAAGTGAAAAAGATGGAGCAAGAAGAACTGGGGGAAATCAGGAAGGCTTCATGAAGGAGGTGAGTCCTGAACAGGTTTGGATTGTACTACATTCTGTAAGCAGCTTGATGGCCCTACGTGTTGGTGCATATGTTCTCTAATTCATTCCTCACAAGAAATCTGTGGAATAGTGTTATTCCTTCTCAACAAGAGGAAACTGAGGTTGTGAGAGACCAAGTAACTTACCCAATATTACACATAGCCTACGTGTCAGTGGATCCCGAGTCCAGTTCTTTTTCCATGTGTTACCAAAAGCTAGTCTTTGACTGAGGGGTTGACATGATAAGAAAGTATACACTTAAATGAAAGGGCACTAACCTATGATTTTACTTCATATGACATTCCCCTCCTCCGGAGTTCCCAAGAGCTTCAGACATTGGGAAGGTGTACTGATTTCTACTGCCGCTGTAACAAGTTACCACAACTTTAATGGCTTAAATACAAACGTATTGTCTTAGAGTTCTGGAAGTCAGAAGTCTGACACAGGTCTCTCTGGGTTAAAATTAAAATGCCAAGGAGCTTGCTTTCTTTCTGGAGACCCTGGGCAACAATCGGTCTTTTTGCCTTTTCTATCTTCTGGAGCTTGTCCACATTTCTGGCTTGGGGTCTCCTTCCATCTTCAAAACCAGTCAAGGCTTTCTCAGTGCATCACTCTTGACACTGCCTCTTGACTCTTTTTCCACATTGAAGGATCTTTGTGGTTCTGTTGGGCCCACTTCAATGTAATCAGCTCAATGTCAGACAGAGTCCTCAGGACAGTTGAACTCTGGGCTCTTCTTAACCATGTTCACTCCCTTCGCTGAGAACATGACTTGGTGTCTCTATTGTTCCACATCCCTATGTTTTCTCCTTCTTAGGCTCAACCAAAGACAAGGAAATGTATATGACATGAGCAAGATCATCTCATGCATCTCATCAGAAACCTGAAAATCTCAACCAATCAGGTCTCCTCCTCCAATCTCTCACCCACCCCTTTCCTGAATCAGCCTCAGGTTTTTCTCTCCTCTCAGCCCAGACAAGGAGGGTGAAATACCCTTGCCCACCCTCTTTGCCTGGGTCGTTCCCACCTTGCAGTAAAACACAACACAGACATCTCCCCCAGAAGCTTATAAGGATCTTCCACCTAAAACTAACGAAGGGGCCTTTGTCTAGAATGTGAGGGCTTACCTCCACCTGTCTTCTCAATGAGACTGAAAGCAGGGGGCTATGAATGATTGAAATAATAAATGAACAAACCCAGTGGTGGAGAATTTTTTGCCTCCTAAGCCTCTGGAGAATACCTTTGTCTCATAGACAACATTCCACAGAAAAGATGGAAGAGATGAAGAGGAAGAAGGAGAGTCCCCCATTCTACACCTGTTCCCAGATTCCCCAAATGACCTTGTCTCTTCAGATTCACCTATAGGTCTTCCAAATTTCTCTTTCATCCCATGCAGCTCCTCCTTTTCCCCGGCCTCCAGAAAAGTATGTCCCTCACAGGAATACCAGCATGAATCCTCTGGGTCAGCCTCTGACCCCTCCCCACTCGGGCATCTGTTTCTTACCAGAACACAAAGGGCTTATATTGCTGCTACATCAGACCTCTGTGCACCGGTCCTAATGGCCAAATGGTCACCTGACCTTCTTCAACTCACCTTTTAAAAACTGTGTAAATCTTTGAAGCAATTTCTAATTTTAGCCAACTACCTCTTTTAGGAAATGACCTAAGCATACCTGTTCTAGTTAAGGGGACCATCATCATCTTTAAAGTCCCTGGAATTTGGTCAACTGTAGCAAACAAGCTCAAGCTCACCACTTTGTAGTCTAAGGACTTCTTTCACAATGGATCATTCCCCATTTTCTATTACATGAGATCCCCCTCTACTCCCAGCTGTCTCCTACGTCCACCTTCTTCATTCCTTAATCAACGCAGTTACTCCACCAATCATCATTTGTCTTCTACTTTCTACATCTATGACACAGCCCCTAACCTCTTGGAACCTACCACCCAGGATAGTGATAAGATCTTGTACATAAATACCTAAAATTCATAATTACAATGGTAAATGTCATATAGCACAGACAATAGACACTGTGAGAGTTCAGAAAGAGAAAGAGGTGAAGTCATTTCTGGTTGAGAGTAACGAGGAAAGGCTCCGGGAAGCTTGTAGACTTGAGTAGAGCCTTGACACATGCTTAGGATTTCCGCGGGCACCGAGAGGGAGGCACACACGAGAGAACTGACAGCTCAGAGACTTAGCAGCAGAGAAAACTGGGTGTGTTTGCTTTGAAACTTTTCCTTTCATCCCCCTGGCTTTTATTGACCAGAGTTCTAAGAAAAGATTTTGCAGAAGGCAAGGAGACAGACCAACCTTGTTCCATCCTGTTTTCTTGGTCACTGTGAAAACTCTGTAACGCCGCTTTAGAAATGTCATAAAGCAAGGCTGAGAAGGTGAGGATTACCTGCCTTCTCCCTCCTCTCTCTTCTCTTCCACCTTACTTTGCAACCCAAGAGTAACAAATGACCCCGATTTCCCTCAAGACCTATGCACAAAAATTACTCTCTCCAGGAGGTTGTAGGTCCTTTGTTAGCTTGGGACCATGGGACAATCTATCTTCCTTGGCTCTGGAAGTGTGACTTTCCAGGCTTAGTGAAGACATATTCATTCTGAAAGAGGCCATATGTGCCCTTGACCCAGACACAGCCCAGGCTTTAGGCATAAAGTCTTCCCATGGGTGAAGACAAGATGAGCAAGGTGGATCTTATCTCTCCCCACATCCTGAACCAGTTTGGGCGGACAAGGAACCCAGTCCTAGTTTAACAGACTGAGATAACGTTTTATGAACATTCTTCTGCTGCTGATTCTAATGAAAGACCTGAGAGCAGCCCCTCCCTGCTGAGGTCTGCTGAGGACCCAGAGGCCAGAATGGAGGCTGATTAACAGGCATCCAAGCAGTGACTCAAACTATGGGCAGTTTCAGAGGAAGCTCGTTATGGTGACTCCACAATTAGGACCTCAGCCCACGTGGCCAGTCATTCCTGTGGAAGGCTGGACCAAGCACTGTATAAAAGTCCCTGCCTGGCTGGACTCCACAATTCACATTCTTTGTTGAGTCTCATTGAAGATCAGGTAAGTGGGGGCACCCGTGCCCTGTCTCCTGCGCTCCGTCTGTGGGAGGCTACTGTTCTCTTCCACCACTGATCTGTACTTTCCACTGATTTTATATCTTTAAAAATCAGTGGAAAGTGGTTGGCCATTTCTTGGGCCTCTCAAACCATCCTGTGTATTCTATCTTGCACCTGATTTTCAGTAAGATTAGTCAAAGAGAAGAGGAGAAAAAAGACCTGTGATAGGATTGGGATTTGGGGTAGGACCAGGTAATGGATATCCAGACAAGAGCTATAAGAATATTCCTACCTGGAATATGGGTGTCAAAGGGAGCTGAAGTCGGGGTAGAAAAGAGAAAGGGATAAAAAGCAGCAGAGAAATGAGTTCTTAGGGTTAGCAATAATTCATTCTTTGTTTCCTTCCGTCAACCCTTCATCCTCAGTCCCCAGCCTAGTACTGTTAATGCAGATCATTTTAAATCTTGTGTTTGTTTCAGGTTCTGCACATCGCCCTAAGATGTCCTTCAATGAGCAGCAGACCAAGCAGCCATGTATGCCTCCTCCGTGTCTTCAGAAGACCCAAGAGCAGTGCCCGGCAAAGGCTAAGGAGGTGTGCCTGCCCCCGTGCCAGGACCCCTGCCAAGAGAAGAGCGCAGTGCAAGCTCAGGAGGTGTGTCTTCCTCAGTGCCCGGAGTTAAACCTAGAAAACTGCCCACAGCAATGCCAAGACCAATGCCCGCCTCAGTGTGTGGAGCCATGCCAAGAGCTATCTCAGACAAAATGTGTGGAGGCTTGCCCACAGAAAGCCCAGGAGAAGTGCTTACCCCCTGGCAAGGGGAAGTAGCTGCTTTCATAACGCAGGGTCAAGATGATGGCCAACAGATGGAAACCCAACCCCAGCCTACGCTATGGTGACCTTCTCCTGTGGGTATCTCTGTGTGCACCTGTTCTTGCCTCCTGGCTTTTTCAGTATTCCAGGACTTGGTCTGTGTCTCTAAGGACAGGTCTCTCTATATTTCATCAACCTCTGTGAATAAGTGTTTTTCAGCAGTTTGGTAGAAGGGCTCAACTATAGGAATAGAGTGCTTGTCAGGAGAGACCGCAGAAGCCTAGCTTCGTTGGGGCAAAACTTCACCCAGCCCTGAGTGTGTAACAGCCAAGGACGCCTGCGTCCATTGTTCAGTGTCAGCCTCTCACTGGAGCTGAAAACAAACCGAATTCGATGGACCTTGCGCTTGATTACCACCATCCAGGGAGTGGAGAAGTGGTTGGTGGTATTTCAAAACAAAAAATTGGGTAATTTTTTCACTGCATTCTAAAAAAGGACAGCAAATAATTGGATGTTGGGATGTTGACTGCGTTATAAAATATGAAACAAATGTTATTTAAATGACTGAATTCAAACAGCCAATAAGGACAGATGAGATGGGATGTTTGGAGTCCTCCTGGTTCATATTTGTGATTCGTGGCTGGTCTGCTTTGGGCCCCTGACTTCTGCTATGTACATTCCTTCCTGATGTGACCTGTGTCTGTGTGGGGCAGGCTGTCTGCTCTCCAGCTGCCTTGCCTTCTTCTCCCTGGTGAAGGTAAAATACAGAATAAAGCTGATCCTAAGCCGATATCTGACTGGTGTGCTCTTTGCTCTTTCCTCCCCACCACACAAGCTCCTGCTGTCCTCGTGATGATATGTTCTCCTTCTCCCTTTTTCTAAAAAAGAATCTGGAGTAGGAGAAAAACCAGACCTCACAGCTTTGCTGAAAGAGGCCTACTTAAGGGGACCTGGGCCACCCTGTCCCACCTACAACCTTCGGAGGCTCACTTTGCACACACTTTACACCTGAGAAAATGCAGCGGGCCCTGGGACCTGCTCACACACAAAAGCTCAGGTCCAGGAGTCTTTCCAATACAGCATATTTTCCTCTGATCCTTACTTTCCAGAGGAAAAGTCCAACATGGGGTGGAGGGGAATTGTATAGAAGAAGGGGTTCCCAGTCAATCATGACACCTCCAAACATAGTACCTCTGTCAGGAGTACGAACTAAGCGTCCTCTGAGATGAACGTAGACTGGGGGACCAACACTGTCACCTGACCAGGTTTCAGGAAAGCCAGGCAGCCTGGTTCAACCATCTCCACCCTGCGGCCCCTCCACCGCAGAGCGGGCGCCAGGCTGGGGGCTCTGGGTTGTGTGAAGGGCCCGAGGAGCAAGACTTACGGGAAAGGAGCAATAGTGACTTCCTCTGCTGTGCCCTGGGCCAGAAGACTCTGTCAAGGGCCAGCCTCCTGAGGGGTAAAGGGGCTTCCATTCATTCCTCTGGGTCCCCCTTCCTACTCGGCCCATGTGGGTGCGCCCCGGGGGAGGGCTGCTGGGCTAATCTGTGGGCCATCCAGCCCTGCGAGTGTCCCAGTCTCAATCTTAGAGATTTTTTTAAGGAGAGAGAAAGGTACTATGTTTGGAGGGGGAAGATCTCAAGTGTCAACACAGAGCCCTCGGGCACTCCCTGAGTACAGATGGCAAGAGCCAGACCCTGAGCTCCACACACATTCCGAGCCCATCCTGATGGCAGCAGCGCAGCCGCAAGGGGAGGATATGTCGCCCTTTGGCTAAGGACCTGGCCTGGCCTCAGGCAGTCGGTAAGCGGTGAAGCCCGGATTCTAATAGCGTCCCTCCGGACTCCAGCTCAGGCTCTAACTCGCTTGAGGAAGTGCCCGGGCACACAGTGAAGATTTCCAGAAGCTGTCTCCTTCTCAGGCATTCATTCACCACCTCCCCAGTGGTCACTGGTCACCTCCCAGTGCTGGACAGACAGCGGTGGCCCAGACAGGGGGTCCCTGCGCAGACATAGACAGCACCTTTTCACGGGCCACACCCAACTTTTCCAGCCTGCACGTCTCACGCCTGAGCGTCTCCAGGGGCCTGGATCAGTTCTCTTGCCTCCCTGTCTGGTTGGAATGTGTTCTCTTCCATTTTTCCACTTTGGAATAAGCCAGTGCACCCTGGGGCCCCAGCCTGCAAAGGGGCGCAGCTTCGGACCAGGCTGAGGGAGGCTCGCGGCCCTGTTTCCACCCTGGCTCAGGCCCACGAGCTGTCTTTGTTCTCCAGCACCGAAGGCGTGCAGATCACAGTCCAAGACCAGACTCTCAGAGGCTGAGAGGAAGCGTGGGGCTGGCGAGCAGAAGAATCCAGCCACATCAGGGAAAGGACAACCCCCAACTGCAGGGGACTGCAGGGGAGGCCTCCGCAGATGGGAGGGACACAACCCTACCGATTGCAGAGAGCGGAGCAGCCGGCAAGGAGCCAGCAGGTCTTTGTCCCGGGAACTGCCACACCTTCCTCGCGCGCACTCAGCTCTGACCCAGCCCCTGCCTCACTGCTGCTGGGCCCAGGGCCCAATGACACAGCCGGCGCCAGGGGACAGCCAGGCCCAAGCACACAGCAGCCAGACACCCCCGGCTGTGTGTTTCTGTGCTGAGGCCTTTCAGAAAGAGGGGGAAGGGCACTGCTGAAAAGAACACCAGAAGTTAGAAGTTCTAGATGACAATTGTTAAAAACAAAACAAATTTGAATACACCGCTGTACCAAACACCCATAGCCATTTGAATACACCGCTGTACCAAACACCCATAGCCACATAATTGGAACTTGAAACTATTCTGATTTCCCCCCAATGTTGGCCTGACCATCGTGAAGTCAGCTTTCCTCGGTTCAGCATGACCTCCGAGCTTCCTAGGCGATGAGCTACGAATGAGTGAGCTTAGGTGGCAGCCAGTTATAATAGAGATCAACGTACTTCTCACTGGCTTTATTGAGCAGGTATGACCCTCACTTTCCAAGCTTCTTGCCTCTCTCAGCATGAAGTCTTCCAGTTTTGTTTTGTTTGTATGCCCAATAAACTTTCAAATTTTCTCTGACTTGATTTGTTTCCATTTTGACACAGTTAACTCAATAGGTGACCAGAGTGGACCTCTGGACTCCACGTGCTAAGAGGAAAAGATGCAAACAGACAGGAGTTCAGAGGAAGGTGGCGGGTTCATCCATTCATCCCGTAGGTACTTGTGGAGAACCCGCTATGCCCAGGGTGCTGTGCCAGGCTCTAGAGAGCTGGTGGGAGGAGCTGTGGCCTGAAGACTCGCATATTAGAAACTGTCGAAAACGATTTATTCCAGAGAAGAAAATACTCAAGGTAGCAGGATAACTGTCCTCACGTATTTCAAGTGCTTTTATGAGAGAGAGATTGGATTTCTGTTCCAAAGGACAGAGTTGGGACCAATGGACAAAAGTTGTGAATTTGGGTTCAGTTTAGGAGTTTTTGATGGCAAGATCTGTTTGCTGGTGACGGAGTCGCTTTGGACGTGTCGTGTTCCCACGAACTGGAGGTGTGCACCTGGGGCAAGAAGCAGTGTGAGCGCTGCGCCCCTTCCACCCTCTCCAGCGCGAGACTCCGCTCATTCATCTAACTCTCCTGGGCAGGACTGCGACCCGGGGCCAGAGGAGCCCAAAAGGACAAGGAGATTCAGAAGGTCTGGCCTTGAGGTCAGGAGACAGAGGCAATTACTATGGCTTCTAGAACATTCCTGGGAGGTCCTTTGGGGGCCCAAACTCTTTGGGGTCCAACAAAGTATAGACCACAGCTTGAGGATCAAGGAGAGGAGGAGGAAAGGGAAGTCTGGGAAGTGGCTCCCCAAATTTGAGCATTTTAATATTTTTTTTGGCCCAAACACTTCAGCTCTGGGTGGTACTTACAGGAATTCCTCACACCTTCCAAATCCAACCTTCCCAGACAGGGATTAGCACATCTTTTTCCCCTTTGTTCCTCGTGTCTTTGCCTCCCGGACCTCCTTCCTCTCCTGGGCTAGAGCGGCTCCTCTGTTCCATGTGCATGGACACCTAACAACCTATCCAGCCTCCTTTCCACCAGCACCTGCCTCTCTCAACCCAGGATTCTCCCCTTGCTTGTGTCTGCCAACCCATGAGTTTCAAACTCACCTCCTCTGGGAAGCATCCAGTAATGTCAAGCCCGTGTCCCAAGGGAAGACGCCTGCAGCACTTCAGCTGGGGCTCCGTGCTGCTGCACTGGTCCCTAGGAGTCTGTGGCCCCCTTGTAGTCCTGTCGGCATGAGAGCCCCAGCTGACAACCCTCAGGCCTTTCTGGGTCCTGTCCCTGTCTTCACAGGGCCAATGGCATTGAGTCTTAGACACTCTCAGAACTGGCCAACCAGCTTGCCTTCTGAGGCAGAGACAAAGGAGGCTTCTTTTATTGATGGGGTGGCCAACCAACCTGGTTTGCCTGGGACTAGGGAGTTTTCAGGATGCAGGACTTTTTTTTTTTTTAATTTAATCTTCACCCAAGCATATGTTTATTGATTTTAGAGAGAGAGAAAGGGGGAGAGAGAAACATCAATGTGAGAGAGAAACAGCAATAGATTGCCTCATGTACACACCCTGATCTGGGATCAAACTCACAACCTGGGTATGTTCCCTGACCGGGAATTGAACCCGCAACCTTTTTGGTGCCCAGGACCAACGTGCCAACCAACTGATCCACCCAGCCGGGGCGATGCAGGGCTTTTGGTGCTAACTTTGGGATAGTCCCAGACAAACCAAGACCAATTAGGCCCTAATTGGGTACATGTGTGTACAGACATGATGCTTGGGGCTGTGGGAGCACAAAGGGAGCGTGGGTGAGACTCTCAGGCTGGAGGAAGAAGGAGAATTTTCTGGAAAAGCATGAGCCCAGAGGGCTTAGTGCCCACTGCCTGCTCCCCTCCACAGCCCCATTCTCTGTGGTGTGTGTGTGTGTGTATGTGTGTGTGGTGTGTGTGTGTGTGGTGTGTGTGTGTGTGGT